TAAACAAGTGACTTGATCCACGTTCATTTATGTTCCAAAAAATGCTTTTAAAGAACAAAAAATTTTATTTGACAAAATGTGAGAAACCCTTTGAATGATTTTCTCAATTTTTTGCTTCTTAGAAATATTTTTGATATTTGCTAATGAGACCTTGGCCTACTGACCAAGATTGAAACACTTTTAGGTTCAAGTATGTGCATGTATGAGCTAGATTATGGAAATCTTGAAATTTCGTATGTTATTCTTAATTTCATTTACAAATTAGAATCCACGATCCAAACAAAACAATTATTGTGTTTTTTTCAGGACTATTTACCTACAACATTTTCTTTTGTGTGTGTGGGCGGGGGGGGGGGGGGGTCAGCCAAACTTAAGAAAGGACGCATTTTCAAAGAATTTTCTTTCCAACTTCATTTCATTTTCCTCACTGTTTTCTTGGAACCAAACATCGCTTCAGAGTTTTAATCCCAGTGGCTGGCGTGTGCAAATTCATTCTTGCGTGCTAATTTCCCAGAAATAATGCGGAGCTTGCCATTCATATAATGAAGTTACTTACTTCACCCTATTGCACCGTACGTAAACTGAAGAAGAATTTGTACGGTTGATCAGATCACATTAGGAGAAAAACCCCTCTTTCTTGTGGAGAAAAATGGAGCAGCTGGCTAGTCAAAGTTATGCTCGTCCTTACCCTCGTTTCGTTTGCCTCCTCCTAACAGAAGGGGAAGAAAATTACTCATTAGCATATTACCTTGTGGAATTATTAACATCATCTCTCCTCCCCAAGATGACTAGTGAACGTATATGGTTAAGTAGTAAGTTTGAAGAATTAAGGTGTGACGTGCTATTTTTATAATGTGGAAAATTCACCCTTGTGTACTATGAACGGAAAGAAGAATAAGTGATTCATCAAATCACCTTAGGAGAGAAATCGCTCTTTCTGTGGGAAAAAAAAAATGGAGCGGCTAGTCGAAGTTCTGCTTGTCCTTGCCCTCATTTGCCTCCTCCTAACATTAGTAGGGGCACCAGGAGGGGGTGGGGGTGGAAGCAGTGGCTGAGGAGGAGGCAGGAGCCGATCGAGGAGGTACCAGTAGTGGATCTAGGGGTGGCGGGGGAAGCAGGGGGGGTGGTGGAAGCAGTGGCTGGAGAAACGCTGGAGCAGTGGTACAATCCTAAAAAAAAAAGACAGGTTCAGCAAATGCTAAAAGAAAAATTACCTAGACGGCTAGACCATGCAAAATGCAATGGTACAATCCTTAGCCAGCGGGGAAAGGTCTTCATAGGAGAAAGTTCTTCGAGCCTTCACAGGAGAAAGTTCTTCGAGATTCAAGTCTTTGACATTTCTATTTTCTACTTTGACGTTTCTACTTAGGAAGAAGAATTGTAGCAGTCAATTGCCAAGTTAACTAACTGACTTTCTTTTCTTTGCAATTCATAGTTCATACGTTAAGAAAATAATTCTCTGTTATTTGGACTTTCAAATATTATTATTTGGGCCTTGGGGGGGCAAAGTGAATTTTTTGATTAATTTTTGGGAGGGCAAAGCATAATAATAAAATTTTTTTTACTTAGAAATTTTTTTTTTAACAATTGGCCCCCTCCGCCCCTGCGCTGGAGGTGAAGCAGGAGATGCTGGCGGCACCACTCGTCCCACAAACAGCGGCATACTCATCCTCTTTTACTCTTGCATGGCCATCTCCGGCGTTATCTGCCTTGAATTGTCAAATTGAGTGGAAATGTAACTGGTCTATAGTATCATTCTGGAGTCTGTGCATAAACGAAGGAGGCTATCATCGTTAAGTTTGTTTTCATGCAAGTCAATCTAGTAGTATTTGTTATTACGTGCATGAGGATTGATCAGTTTATGGTGTCGGGCTTGAATCATGATCATTGACCAGTAAGTAGATAGTAGATGATATTGACCCAATTAAGATCATGGAACGAATAGCATTTTGAGGATGATGTTTCAAACTACGCAAGTAGCGTAATGCTAAAGCTGATAATCGACTGCCAAGAAAAAAAAATGATAATTGACCAGTGACCGCGACTCAAAAGGCCCGGAAGTCCTGATCGTATCCTCTTATTTAAGCACAAATAATTCAAGTGGCTGACATGTGTACGTAGTAATTTTGAAGAATTAAGGTGTGACGTGCAATTTTATTATTATTATTATTTTTTTTTAGTAATGAGGTAAATTCACTCTGGTGTACCATAAATAGAACAAAGAATCAAGTGGGGTTGATCAAATCCCTCTTTCTCTGAAGAAAAAATGGAGCGGCTAGTCAAAATGATACTGGTCCTTACCCTCATTTGCCTCCTCCTATCATCAGTAGGGGCACCAGGTGGCGGTGGAGGCGGTGGCGAAGGAGGAGGAGGAGGTGGAGGCGGTGGCGAAGGAGGAGGAGGAGGAGGTGGGGAAGGAGGCGAAGGAGGAGGAGGAGGAGGAGGTAGGGGAGGAGGAGGAGGCAGTGGTGGGGGAAGCACGGGTGGTGGTGCACCTGGACCAGCGGCTGGTGGTGACAGCGGCTGCTCATCCACTCTCGCTCTTGTTGCATGGCCCTATCTGGCGTTATCTGCCATTGCTCAAGTTTCATATCTGCATCTACTCTGATATGCCTGAACGGATAAACCAATTTCAATGTATCTATAGCCAGTAACTAATTCTAGTATCGATTTAACGTCTGGAGTCAGTCTGTCTGTAATATAGAAATGAAGGAGATCATCATGTTGTGGTCTGATCGGAGATCATGGATTTCAGTCTACTCGTTATTACATACGTGGATCACATTGATTGGACGACTGGTCAGTTTTTGATTTCATATATGCTATGTATAATTTTTATCCTTAATTTGTTGCTTGATTAATTAATGGAAATATATATACATATGCAGTAATAATTTTCATCCTCTCAATCTGTTGGTTGATTCATGAAACCTGGTAACGGACTAATGTAGAACCAATAGAATATATCATCGAACCAAATGGCCTTTTAATTAGCAAAGAAATTTGAGATGAAGATTAGGGGACCGGGGAAGTAAGGCTCGTTACTAATGGAAATGGTTTAAGGAGATGAGATGGAGGAAGAGGATGATGAACGGACAGCATACAATTGCTTATCTACCAATGGTTTGACGTTGAAACTTGTTTTGTTCATTTTAATGAATTTAAAATTGGGTTAAGATTTACTAGCTTATTTATTTATTTATTTATTGACTTGACTTCCATCAAACCTGATGAATAAACCAACAAAGCCTTCAGGTCTATGAGTAAATTTCCCGAGCATTTTTTGCATTTTAAAATATTTTTTTCCATTTATCAATAAATTCAACAATTAATTCATTTTTCTGCAACATTATAATATAGATGATCTAGCAAAGATTGAATTCATATTCTATTTATCGAATCGCATGAAATTTTATCCAACTCCATATCTGAAACATGTATGAGAAATAAACCAAACCAATTTGGCACTTTTTCAACAAACTTTTAGTAAATCAAGTTAATCGGAATATCAAGTACCTCGATTCATATTTCAGCTCTAGCTAGTAATTCTATAAAAAAAAAAATCTTAATCTTTTTCAAATTATAAAATGATTAACTCCGTTTTATACCCTCGAACTTGTATTTGTTTCTCTTTTTGCACCTTAAATTCTATTTTTTAATGCACCGTAAATTCTCAATTTTAGATAGTTTGTATTCTAAACTCTTAAAATTGTCACATTTAACTCCAATCAAAATGATAATGTTAGCAAAATCAACCATACACAAGATCCTTCAAATCAATGACAATGCATTAAAAGTGGTCAAAAGGAGCCAAAAGATCGCAAGTAGAATAAAACAATGCATTGTCATTAATTTGTGTAGTTTTATTTCATTAGTTTTGCTAACAATATTAATGATTGAAGCTGCACAAATCAATGTCAGTCAATGTGCTGAAAATTCTTAGAATGAGCGATGGGATTGCAGTTAGAGCAAAATGGTACATTTTTATTAATATGCACCCTCTTTTATTTCATTAATTATGCTAACCTTGTCACTTATTGGATTTAATAGGACTAGCTTGAGGATTTAGGATACAAAATGTCCAAAATTGAGAATTTGAAATATTAAGCGTCTAAAATTAAAATTTGGGATGCACCATGAAAAAGTGATAGAAGTTTAGAAATGCAAACAAGAGTTGGCCTGCAATAAAAATTAGAGTAAAAAGCCTAGGGAGCCCTTAAATTATTGCTGTTGTCTATTTTTGGCCCCTAATCTAAATTTCGTTTCCGATTGGCTCTTGAATAATTAAAATTGCACATTTTAAGAACTTCCGGTGATTTTAGGTATAAATTTGGCTGGATTTAAAGGGCATTTTTGTTCATTCGTAATTGAAGTTTCGAGACCAACATAAAAAACCCTAAAAAGAGGTAATCCTTCGATATCTTAAGCACACTATTAGATTTTTCTTTATAAATCCTCTAAAAATTGAGTTTTATCCAAAAGATTTTGACAATGAAATTTTTAAATGATTGGAAAAACACCACATGCGAGGCATGGTGCAAAACTTTTTAGATTTTGACAGTGAAGTTTTTAAATGATCGGAAAAAACACCACATGCGAGGTATGGTGCAAAGCTTTTTTCTTATGGGTAAAACTCAATTTTTAGAGGGTTTGTAAAGAAAATCTAATGATGTGTGTAAGAAATTGAAAGGTTTCCTTTTTTTAGGATTTTCGATGTCGGTCTCGATGCTTCAATTATAATGGACAAAATGCCCTTTAAATTTGATCAAATTTATGACTAAAGCGACTAAAAGTCCTTAAAGTATATAGTTTAATTGTTTAAGGATCAATTAAAAATAAAATTTAAATGAGGAGCCAAAATAGTCAAAAGCAATAGTTTAGAGGCTCCCCAAGTTTTTTACCCTAAAAATTAAAACCAAGCCGTTTCATTCAATGACTTCGGTGCAAAATTCAATCGATTATTGGAGATTTGAATTTGATCGACAGCCGTCCCAAACTTAACAGCGCTTGAACTGGAGCATTCTTTTCCCAAATCAGCCCAACGAGCCGGACTTAGTAGTTAGTGAGGATAGTGACATCCGCAGCATTTTTGGCGGGGCCCCGTGTTTAACACTCAAGCTCCCCGTCGGACTATCCGAAGCTGACATCAACTAACTCTCCCTCGTCTTCTCCGTCGACTCCTTCCTCTTTCCCGTCACCAATTTCACTCTTTTTTTTTTGACTAAATCTACTCAGACATTTTCACAAATACCTCGCCTTCATTCCCTGAAATCACAAAATCGAACATCCCATTTCTGAGAATTCATCGAGAAAATGGCATCCTTCTCATTCTCCTCATCACTGTCCACAACTTCCCAAATCCAACGTCTCTCGTCTCTCCCATTAAAGCCGCAGCAGGGAAAGCTGCAAAAGTCAGTAGTCCCGGCCATTCAATCCAAGATCCGGGAGATCTTCATGCCGGCTCTCAGCTCCACCATGACCGAGGGAAAAATTGTTTCCTGGGTTAAATCCGAGGGAGATGTCTTGTCCAAAGGCGAGTCCGTCGTGGTAGTCGAATCTGATAAAGCTGACATGGACGTCGAAACTTTTTATGATGGGATTTTGGCCGCCATTGTTGTTAATGAAGGCGAAACGGCGCCCGTGGGTGCCCCGATTGGGCTGTTGGCCGAGACGGAGGAAGAGATTGCTGAAGCTAAAGCTAAAGCCCAGTCAAAATCTCCATCCTCAGCAGCCCCTCCTGCTTCGTCAGCATCCCCAGCTGCACCAAAAGCTGAAACTCCAGCTCCTCCTCCTCCGGTGGATGGGCCGAGGAAGACCGTGGCGACGCCTTTTGCGAAGAAATTGGCGAAGCAGCATAAGGTGGATATTGAAAAGGTAATTGGGACGGGACCGTATGGGCGGATCACGCCGGAGGATGTGGAGAAAGCTGCTGGAATTGCACCGGCCAAGAGTCCCACACCAGTTGCGGCTCCAGTGGCTGCTGCTGCGGCAGCAGCTCCAGTGAAAGCATCTGCTGCGTCTCCAGCGGCCTTGTCAGATATTCCTGGGGCAACGGTGGTGCCGTTTACGACAATGCAGGCTGCCGTCTCAAAGAATATGGTGGAGAGTCTCACGGTGCCAACTTTCCGGGTTGGATATCCTATCAATACAGATGCTCTTGATGCCCTATATGAGAAGGTACATTGGTTTTTGTTTTTTTTGTTTTCATTAAATTGTGGTGAAACTCAAGAGCTTGTAGCATTTGTGGTAATTAGAATTCTGGGATTTGAGAAAGATTTAAATTTTATTAATATCAGGTTAAGAAAAAGGGCGTTACTATGACTGCATTGCTGGCGAAAGCTGCGGCAATGGCATTGGTCCAGCATCCGGTTGTGAATTCTACTTGTAAAGACGGAAAGAGTTTTACATACAATAGTAATATCAACATCGCAGTTGCTGTTGCAATTAATGGTGGATTGATCACCCCTGTTCTGCAAGATGCTGACAAGGTACTGATAATAAGACAGTTACCAATGCTATCGTTGTTCCCAATGCTATCGTTGTTCTGATTAGTTATAAGCATTCAGCTGGAAGAAATGTTGAATAATTCATGAAACTGCTAGTTAACATGATTTAGCTGTGATGATGTAGTTGGATCTTTACTTGTTATCACAAAAGTGGAAGGAATTGGTAGAGAAGGCTAGAGCTAAGCAGCTTCAGCCACAAGAATATAATTCAGGTATTTTAAACTTCAGTGTTGTGGTTTTTCAAGTGCTCTATTGGGGATTCTGATAAATTGGGTTGATTGCTTTTGAGTATAGGGACTTTCACACTGTCCAATTTGGGCATGTTTGGAGTGGATCGATTTGATGCTATTCTTCCTCCAGGACAGGTTAGCTATCAAATCTAGCCATTTTGTAATGTTATTGGTATAATGCAAAACCTATTACCGTTACCCTTGTTTGTAAATGTTTAGGGTGCTATTATGGCTGTTGGTGCATCAAAGCCTACTGTTGTAGCTGATGCAGATGGATTCTTCAGTGTCAAAAATAAGATGCAAGTGAGTTTGATTGATTGTTCTTTGTAACTTCTATTTTGTTCTTTATTTATGGCGTTGCTAGCATGTATATGTGCTGCTATAGATTTGATATCATTTGACAGAGGGCCTACTAATTTGAGTACTCTTGACACTATTGCTTTTGTTCGTTGAAGTTTCTCCCAGAGTTGGCAATATGTCCATTTCTATTAGGTTCACGTGGTCCTTTAGGATTCATGGATTTCTGTGTTACATATAGTTGCTATGGTGCAGTAGGGATCTGTTTTACTTGAGATGAAACTTCAAATGCTGTTTGTGTGTTTAACTAGCTTTGGACAAGAAGCTAACTGTAAGGATATTGGTCTGGCTAAATGAGACTTGTTTGATGCCTTTCAAGTCCATGTTTATTCAGCCTTCAGTTTTCTATTAAATCTCATATGGGATTCATTTCCAACTTTTTGCAAACTTTGTATAATATCTAGCAGACAACCAAAATTTGGAATCCAGATGAACTTGCCAATTACCATTTCCTCTTCTCGTAGATACTGTGATATCTATTATATGTCAAAGAAAGTGCACCTATGGTTATGGTATCGTTTGCAGAATATTCATTGCCTACCTATATAGAGATAACCATTATTTTGGAGTTTCACGTTCAATGGTCTTCAGTCAATTCTCTTTGCAGTCTAGTTCTCTCAGTATATTGACTTTGTAGAGATAAAGCAAATTTCACAGCCATTAGAGGTGCAGATCATTCTTTGCCGATGAAACAAATATTAAACCAGCAAAATTTAGCAGCTTCCCAACTTAGCAGTAAATCAGGCCATTCTTGACATTTTGTGTTCCCTAAGGTTGGTAGTAACTAGCTTTGTCATGGTGCTAGGAAATTTGAAATCCTTATGGCAGGATTCTAAAGCTGTAGGGGGGCATCACTTTTTCAATAGCAACACTTCTTGTGCAATTCAATTATCTCTCGTTGTGTAATACATTGATAGGCTTTGGCAAGATTAGGTAAATCTTATGGTTCAGCCAGAAAACAAAAAAAAAAAAAAAAAATTCATGGAGATTAGAAATAGTATTATGCTTCTGTTGTGCATTGTTGAGTTGGGCGAGGACAAATTAGTGGGTATCAGAACAGCTGCCATACTGACTGCATGACCTAAAACTTGTCTTTTGGGCTAAATGTCTATTTTCTTTCTTCATGTGCTCAAGCCTTGAACTGAGCTTGTAAAACTCGGCTGGTGTATAGGAAGCTGCTCGAACAAGTGAAAAGTCTGGGGAGGGTTGACTCGGAACACAGCTGCTGGGAGACTTTACCACACTATAAAAGATCATTACCTGATACATTTCTTTAACTGATTTGCACATTCATCATTTGGTTTGTGTCGAATGTTTATGCTTTTAAAATTTGGTTGACAATCTTGGGATGGAAAGCTGCAGAGTGATCTTCTACGGTCCTTAGCTATGGACCTCATTTGCGAGTTATACTCAATTATTTTTAAATTTTTTTTCTCTTCCTGTGACAAAGATGGAACCTAGCTGAATAAATAGCATCTCACTTTCTGAAAGAATTTCCGTGAGTGCCTGTTGACTGGAATGGTTTCCAAACATTTTCCAGGTCAATGTTACAGCTGATCATCGAATCATCTATGGTGCTGATTTGGCTGCTTTTCTTCAGACCTTCTCAAAGATTATTGAGAACCCTGATAGCTTGACACTGTAGATTAACGACATGTTTATGAGGGTAGCTGAAGGATGCTGCTTTGGAGTCTCGATAGTTTCTGGCGACATTTTTGCATGTTGTAGTTCATTTGTTTCTATTTTGGCAAGAGAGACTGGTGAATCCAATAGGACAATTTTTTGAATACAAGCAATTATGTTACAATTTGTTGAGACTTGTTGGTATAATAACATTTAGTGTTACTATTTTTTTCCCCTGTCCTTCTTGACTCTTCGCATCTATTATGGAGGATCATATGGCAACCCTAATGCAAGAAAATTTACATGTCTGATGACGATCAGTTGAATTACTGCTTAATTATGGTATCAAACGTTTAGTCGGATGCACAATGATAACTTTACAAGAAATCCCTCCTGTGAGGAGTGGTGGTTTGTGCAGATTTGGGTGCGGGGTTGCCGGCGCTTTAAATTAGTGATATTTAACTTTATTGCATTAATGTTACTACATATCTTTACCAACCCAGGGCAGTGAACCGTGGGCATTATGGACTGTAGAAGCATGTTTTCGTACTGTGGATTTCCTTACGGCTTCTCACCAAGACATTTTTGCATTTCTGCAGTCTTGCTTTAGTTTCTGTAGTGCATCGAGCTTAGCGAATTTACCAGTCAGGGAGCAGTATCAGAAATTGGCATTTGTCAGGGCATTCACCAAGACCTCAAAAACGCGGCAGGGAAAAAAAAATATTAATGGGACCTCAAATGAAGTTCATCAGCTCTGCAAAATGGTCCTTCAACCTTACCCTTATCATTAGAGATACCACATGAACTGTCATCACTTGGATCATCCTGTGCTGGGACAACTGGGCTTGACCCCTTGAAAAGTAGGATTCAATGATTTGGCTAATTTCTTCTTTGTTAAAGTCATAATTACCATGTACATTTGCCTAGATATCTACAAAATCAATGTTGTTACAATAACAGTAACAATATATGTCAGAATTAGAAAAAAAAATGTCGGTCTCAAAATTTAAAGTTTGAACATGCTAGATACTTCTCCTCCTGCTATTCACTGTTTGGATTCTTTCGGCTTTACAGACGGTAGGAACTGATTCCTTTCAGCTTTTGAAGAAGGTGGGGAAGTATATAGATCTTTAATACTCGAAACTTCACTGTAAGAATCAAGTTCTCTTGCTTGACACTGCATAACTATATGTTAATCTTCTTGCTGCTCCTCAAATGAGTGGTCTGGTTCCCCGGGAAAAGAATCAAAGCTTACCAATCCAAGCTGATGTTTCTCGAGATGTACAACTTGTCAATGTATTCTATAACTGGATGTGAGGCATTGATGTATCTCCTCATTTCCCGCTCCGCTGATTCTTCTGCAAATTCAACATTAAGAAAACATTGTTCATTAAAATTTGATTTCTACTTACTAAAGCTTATAGAAGCAGTTTTTGAATCTGGCGCAGAGTGGACTTAAAAATCGTTTTACTTGGACAAGTTGATGTCTTTGGACGGTGCATAGTGAAAAAGAGAAAAAGCAGCAGTTCAGATGCCACTATCAAAAGGCTACTCCTTGCATACTTCTTATGCAAGCTGTCGAGAAGAACTAATCATGGATTAATTTCCTCACAATGGGGATATGATTTCTTTCTACAACTATATCCCTTCTGCACTTTGTGTAATTCAGCCGAGTCTACCCATATCAAGTATTGACAGAACCAAGGACATCTTAACCATTATAAGTAGATGGGTAAAACCATGTAGGTAAGAAATGGCTACTAGTGCTTACATTGACTCGCTGTATTCGTTGGTTTTAACTCCTATACTTGAATAGATTGTATGTAATGCAAATTCATAATGCCTCTGATCCAACTTGATAAATACAGTAAATGTCTGCTTTTTTGGATGCCAGAAAGGTGTTAGAAATGTACTAGAAAAGCCACAAAATGTCTCACCAGTTTCATTTAGCCTCTCCAGAAGTTGCTCCCTCGTCGGCAGGGCACACATACCAGCTGAAACAGCAGTCCTGATTGCCCATGTGTGGTATGGTGCACAAACTTTTGTATAAGCTGTTTGAGCAGCTTCTTTCAGAGAACATTCACTGGAGTTAAAAAGTAAAGTTGGCCATCAATTTAGGAGGCAACGAGGAACACAAATGCCAGGTTAGTTGCAGCAGTTATGACTAGAAGCATCAAAATGGTGGCTGAGAAAGATAAGGGCAGGAAAATCCTACTGCTAATCAGAATATGAACGCAATGCTGAACTTCAAAGAAAATCAACCAGATTTTCCAATGAGCCTTGTCGGTGTTCATAACAAACAACGGAATGTATAGTAACTCATGAATTAAGGAACAGTTATATCTCTTTTGCCCGCCACTAAGCAAATAAACACAGCCAAGAAATAGATGCTTTATAGTAACACGCAATACCATATCCTATTCTTTGCTGTAACTTTGAAACACAGATGAATGAAACAGTACAGTGATGAGGAACATCAACATCAACACCACATCTGAATTGGCTATGAACACCATTTAGTTATAGGGTCAACTTCTTGCTTATGAATATGTATAAGGAGGAAAGAAACATACTCGATCGACAAAAAGTTTTGAAATAAAGCTCTAATGAGATCCAGGCCCTGCCTAACCCTGCGTAAGTTACGTGAGAGGCTCCCAGCTGATTTTACAGTGTCCATTTCAACGTCATAATCAAGTATGTTATTCAATGTGCCATAGTCCTCTGATGCATCCTCTAGATCCTGTACCTGGAGCAATGACAGCAATACATCCACTGAGAGGTGAAAAAGAACTACTGAAAACAGAATGAAGGTTTCATCATTAGGACTATACATGATACGTGCTTTTCTGAAAGAACATTTCATCTCCTGGCGGATGAGGCAACAGGTAAAGGAGGGGAGATTTCAGGCGTTAAAGTTCTGAGGTACAGAGCTAATGATAAAGAAACTGAATGGAGCTAGGTGAGGTAAAAAAAGATGCACAAAAGTTCTTCCCTAGTAGTATTAGTGAAGAGGCTACACGTTGCCCTCCATCTTTTGCACATCAACAACTTGATCCATTTGATTTCGTTATTATTACTGTTTACTAGTTTCCACCCACTATAGAAGAATAGAAGTCACTGCAATTAGGGGCTAAAAGGAGTCTTTGCTATTAAAACCTAAGAAAAAAGCTGTGATTTTTGTGCTTGGCAATCATCCAAAAACCATAAGCCCTGCCATCTTCTAGAATCAGTCGTACCTCCTATGAGGGAAGCTTCCCTTGGTATAAGAAGAGTTACTCTCAAATAGGTGACAACCCAAGCAACCATGAGATTCCGCGCTTAAAGCATATTATCTGTAAATTCTCCTATTCAAATCTTTGGCATTGATCATGAAGCCCGAACCCAAGTTCACCCCATTGAAAACTATATCAGGTGGCTCTTTCATTTCTTAGTCCTAAATGTATACTTTTTCGAGGAGAAAAGAAGAAAATAGAGCAAATACCATTCTGCAGTAATTGCTTATACAATTTTATTCTGGGATGGAAGCGTCAAAACAAGACCTTGTTCATTTGTTACATACACGAAACTGATCCAGCAATTTTTTTCTGTTCCTTCTGTTGACCAAATTAAACTAATTTGCCCCTCTTAATCCTAAATCTCTGCCTATGTGACAAATCATACTGGCAAGAGACATACCTGTGCTTGGATGACATACATATATATAAGGCATTAAAGATTTCAGACATACAAATGTTATCCCTCCAAGCCAAAAATCCATGCATAAAAGATGCTCAAAAAGTATATAATTTTAGAGAATCAGGCCCAATGGTAAAGGGTCTTTGTCCCTCGTTTTAGAATGAGTGTTCAATTCTTACCGTCTCTATTCCCTACTTCGTATTTCCTACCCTTCCCATTCTAAAAATAAAAAAGAAAAAGAAATAAAAACAAATAAACAGTGCTAACCTTGGACACGTACTCCATCTCCGCAAATTTGAAGGCAATTCCCAAAGAACCAAAGAGGACGGAAACAAGAGAACATGCATCACAAAAGGGCTTCAAATCAAGATCAAAATTAGGACCCCTTGACTTCAATAAACGAGAAAGTTCCTCAAAAGCATCTGCAATGGCAGATAAAGGAGTTCCCTCTGAATCCGAAACAGCATCCTCAAAAGCATCATCATCTTCCATTACAGTATTCCTTCTCGTTGTTGCACTGCTTGAACCTGTTCTTTCCTTAGTCCTTCAAAAACAAGAAAAAAAATCCCACGTGTTTCAAACTTAATTATAAGATCCAATTAACCATCAGCACTTTCCTTTGTTTATAAACTAAAAATACCTAAACAAAATCAATATCAAGAAAAAGTTGTGGGGTGGAGTATAAAGCAAGAAACTGGTGATCATAATTAAGAGTCTGGCTTACTTTTGTCTGTAGTTTCGTTGTATTGTGTTAAGGAACGAAGGGAAGCGGGGGGCCATCGTTTCTTGGAGTCTGCTAAGATTGCGCTCTGTCTTACAAGAAACTCTACAAATCTATGCAGTTGTTTCTTCAGAAATTTGAAGGTAGTTAATACGAAGCCAAGAGAGTTTTCACTATTCTAAATTTGGCGCGCCATGGGTCGTTATAACCTTAAACGAACCTTTGAGAAAGGTTGCGCGTATTGACTGTTAGGTACATACCAAATAACAGAGAATCTGTTTCCCCCACAATTTAAAGTGTGACGATTGACAATGGAGCTTTCCGATTGATTGCGTGTATACTCCGCTCCTTTTTTTTTTTTTTTTGGGCAAAACTAGTTATAATTAGGGAAGTATGTGTTGGATTAATTGACGTGAGATGGAGAACAAAGCTGAAAATCCATAATCGTACACGTTTTTGTTATTCCTATTGTGTTAAACTTTTTTTTAACAGTATGCATTCCTTGTCATATTCTATGTATATTCCTTTTGGAATAAAGTGCTAAAATGTTAAACTAATCCAATCAAAATACTCGTAAGGTGAAAAATAATTTTTACCCTTTTATTTTTTTTGTGTTATCTTCTCGTCAAGACGTTAAAATAATCCAATCAAAATACTCGTAAAGTAAAAAATAATTTTTACCCTTTTTATTATTTTTGTTTTATCTTCTCACTTCTCCCTACATCCTCATATGGAGTATTTTTATCAGACATAGAATTTGAACTCTAAACCTGATGAAGACAAAATAATTTATATCAAAAATTAAATTGCCCATGCTGCTAATTCTCTCTTGCATCTTTTCTTTGAGATTTAAAAAGAAGAGGTAATTTGAGGAGAACTAATGAAATTGGATTAATTACTTTTATAAGCCCACCTTAAGTTAGTCTAGTCAAACCAAAATAGTTAATGTAAATAAGACGTCATATGCTGATGGGGGGCTAATTTTACGTGTGGGGCTTAGGTATTTAAGATAAAAAAGAAAGGGCAGCTTTCCCCTGAACTGCTTTTGCCTTCTGCTTAAATTTTGCAAAATCTAAGCCCACATTGTTGAAAGAAAATTGAGCGCTAGAGTAATAGCATAAGCCCACCAGCAGATCTTCTATTTTCTGGGCCCTCTATATTGCCATTGCAAACTTTTTTTTTTGGACCTTTTCTTTTTCTAAAAGTTTAAGCCTCTATCGCATATTGTCAAAGGCCCAAACATGTGCAAGCTTTTCTTTCTTTCTTTCTTTCTTTAAAAAAAATTAAAAAAAAATTGAAACTTCTATGGAGAAAAAGAAAGAACTTTACTTGAAGAACAGAGGAGGACACCTGCATGTTCTCATGTCAGCTACAACTATATGGAATTCATAGCACTCCTCCATAAATACTACTAAGCCTACAACAACTAAAAAGACATCGGCATGTAATATTGTATTGAAATCAGATTATAGTATCTAAACACGATTCCTTAGCTCGATCCCATCTTCTTCTGAGCAATCAACCTCCTGGGCATGCACCTGAATTGGCTTGAAAGTGTAGAATTTTGCACATGCCAAGTAGTACACCAAGTTTGCAACTTGCAGCAATGTTATCAGCCAATAAAGGTACTCCAATTTTCCCCTGTTCAAATTGTTATCCGGAAGCCAATTTGATCCATCAGGGCCTGCACTGAACTTGTGAATAATTGACACCAAAAAGGTGCTTGTATAACTCCCCATTGAGATTGCCAACCAGAAAAATGCAGTAGCGGTGCTCCTCATGCTCTCTGGAGCTTGATCATACAAGAACTCAAGGTGACCGATTGACATAAATGCTTCAGCCATCCCATGAAGGCAATACTGTGGAACTAGCCAAAACACTGAAATCGGGATCATTTCTTGAGGTTTGTCTTCTAGTCCGTACGCGAAAGCTGCCCGTCTTCGCTTGACTTCAACAAATCCAGCAACGAATGAGGCTAGTATTGAAATGGCAAATCCAATTCCCATTCTGGTAAGGTATGTTATGCCACGTTCTAGCCCGGTGAAGCGACGAATTACTGGGACCAAAATGCGATCGTATACACCAATTGTGAGGAGCATACATGATAAGGTGAAGACACCCATGGATGCTGCAGGGATTTGGAAGGTTTTTGTTAGGTGACGATTCATGGTTTTTGCTTGTGATAATGAAAATGTGTGTTGCTGAGCAGCTGCAGTGATGAGAAGGATTCCAGATGCCCATATTGGTCCCATTCGGATCACTGATTTTAGCTCCTCTACACGGTGAACTGTGTTCAGCCTCCACCAATTTGGTGCTTTGGGATCGTCTTCTTCTGTCACAATTGCTGCCTTGCTAAAAAACCTGATCACCAAAGAAAAGCAAATGTTTCTGTGAATTCTACATCTTAAGATTCAGAAATGCTAGCATTTTTCTACAATTGCAAAAAACTGAAAAATAATTTTTTTTTTTTTTAAAAAAAAAGCTGAAAGCATGCATGATAGGAATTAGTAGACACTCTATAGACACATGTTGAGAATATAGCTTCACTAAATGAGTAACGCTATAAAATCTTGAATTATTGGGGCAGTGGTTAGTTTCCTTAGCAAAGGTTTGTCTTTACCATGTCCTTTAGTAAAGTTTATCTTCAAAGATGACCCTACTTAATAATTTTTTTATTCTTTTTAAAAAGATGGAAGTCTAAAATTGATGAACCTATTTCAGCTTATCTTTTAATTTCTTTTTTTTTTTTGTTTAACTTTGAAAATACACATTTTTTTTTTGTAAAAGAAAATTTGGATAGATTCGGCTCTAATTATCATCACAAGTGAGAGCATGTTTTCGGAACCCTAAGTACTCATAGAAATTCTTACAGATTGCTTCCCAATACAATCTTCACGTCAACAACAACAGGGGATGAAAATAGACGTATCATAATTTACCAGTTAGGGATGAAAATATTCTTTAGAGAAATCACCTCCATTATATGATTATCAGGCTTAGAGCTGTCAATACCAAATGGACATCATGTGGATGGAAAAGGCCATTTGCAAAGTTCGCCATAAAAAATGACAGTAGGTGGAAAGATGTTCTTCCCCTTTGGCAGCAAATCGCGGCCGAAAGGTTATGAGGGCAGTTGCCGAGCATGTATAACTATTAGTCTATTATGTGATGTATAATATATTGCGGATTGAACCAAAAGATAAAATAAAATAACCAAGAGGGCTCATGTGGAACAGTTGTTATCTACTAATAAATTTCTGGCTTCTGCTGAGTTCATTGGCAAACGGCAACCGACAGGTGATTCAGGCTGAAGAACAAATTGACGAAACAATGCACCGAATAACATACAAAAATTTTCAGAAATGGCTGATCAAATGACATGCTTTCTATTGCAGGTTTTGATGGGCATTAACATAATACTAATGAAGAAGAAGAGGTCACAATCAATCTGTTTGCTAGCATAAAAGATAAACAATTTTGTTGATGTTGGGCAAAGTTATGTGGGTAGTAACTAGAACCTGTTCTTGAAGAAAGAAAGCATCTATTTTGCTTCCTAGAGTATCTTGGCTGTAGATTGCTTAAAAGCCATTAAGCTTTCATGTGGAACAAATCAATGATTGATTTATGTGAACCCAATAGTGTCATGTTGATAGCGATAAAGATGTCGCAACCACAATCTTTAATTAGTAGGCCTATACGCAACTTCTTGGACCAAAAACGATAATAAACACTAAGACATGAGGTCTGCATCATATTGCTGTAACCATCTTTTTGTTCTCATCTAGTGTAAGCAAAAGAACATATTTCAAACGTCCCAACGAAACTTTGACCTATTGCGCGTATTTGTGTGCAGCTGGAGAGGAAGTGTTTGGCCCATGGGAGGAATTATTCCACTGTAAGAAAATTAATTAATTTTTACCATTATGAGATCCTGCAAGCGAACCAATGATCATTAGGGTCCTAGCTATAATTCTTGCAAGCACCATATATAGACTCTATGGAAGGAATGAAACTATGGTACCATCATGAGGATTAGCTATTCCATAATTTGGAATAGGAATATACTATTTTGACCCTTCTCTGCTAGCTCATTGAATTTCTGTCTAGTTATGCTTATGATGATACTGTATAAGCAAGAAAATGACCCTTGAACAAACTGTCTCTACCTAGTATGCTTTTAATGGAAAGAAAAATACCGCTCCTACGTATCTCTCTTTCATGGGTTCCCCAAGAGTTAAACATCCATGTAATCAATGAAAAACACATATAGAGAAGTGCAAATAAAAATGGTTTGTTGGTACAATAATGATGCATCAAATTAAAATACTATTCACATGTTTGTGTCTGCAGTATTGAACTGCCCCATGTTTCTGTTTGATGTGTGCACTTCCATCAATTACTGTCGAAGAAGATAGGCATCGCCAAAAAAAAAGGGTTCAAACACCAAAAAACCTGTCTAGCCCCTTGTATTTTCATTAATTGATGCTTTCCCTAAAAATTATGGCTAAATAACCGAAATTTCAATCACATAAAAGACAGAGGAACTAAATTAAGGGGACTTACTTCATGTGTTTAGTATGCATAAGCCTTCCACCAAGAGATATTCCAGCATCAAGATCTTGATTTTCATAAAGCAATGTGGGATCAGAGGGCATAGAAAGATTTCTTTTCCTGTAGGCAGCCACACAGACTTGTACTAGTCTTGTGAAAGGGCTACCGGCTGGGTCCAAGTTTCTGTACAAAGGGTAGCCAAATATGAAGGCAATAATTGAGAGGGCCATTGCAACTGTCGGTATTCCGAGGCCCCATCCCCAGCTAATATAATCCTGGATGTAAACAACTACTGTTACTGCAACAAGCATAGATGCCCCCATGCAGAAATAGTACCAATTGAAGAACTTCCATGTCTTGGTTTTTTGCTCTGGATCAGCCTCATCAAATTGATCTGCACCAAATGATACCACACAAGGTCTGACGCCTCCTGCTCCTATTGCAGCTAGCAAGAGAGATATGTAGAGTATGGCAAGTTGGCCAGAATTGGCTTCTTGGCACACTGATTCATTAACTTTGCATGGGGGAGGCCTCAGTTTTGGTAATATTGCTGATGTTGTCAAGCTAACCATTCCCTGATACCATGTGTAAAGTTGAAACTTAGTTAATGAACCAAATCATGAGAACAAGTTACATACAAATTCACTGTTAAATAACAATTCAGAAATCAGGAATTTTAGGATTTCTCCAATCCTAGATTCAAATTGAGTACATGGAAAGTCATAGAGTGCTAAGAAACTTATTTCTTGTGACATTTGACAAATTAACAAACCTTTTGACTAAGTTGAGTTGATATGATAAGACAAGCCTATCATTGCATGAAACTTCAGTAATAATACAATACAAGAATACATATTATATCATGCACAGCAAAGCTTTCAAAAACCTGTGTGTGTGTGTGTGTGTTTGTGACAGAGAGAGAGACAGAGAGAGAGGGAGGGAGGGAGGGAGGGAGGGAGGGAGAGAGACTTTACTATTTGGTAGAAGATTGAAGCAACAGTAATGGTCCAAAACCTTCCCGCAAATGAATCAGCAATGAATGCACCAATCAATGGTGTGAGACTGGCGGTTCCAGAGAAGTTGGTAGTAGTATTAGCAGCCTTGGTTAAAGACATATGCAGCTGCTTTGTTAAGTAGCTTTGCATGTTACTTCCAACTCCAACCACAGCCAACTTCTCACATACTTCATTTGCTGCAAGAACAAAATCATTAATGTAATCAAAGTAACAAAAGCTTTAGTGTTGTTCAGACTTGAAAGTTTAATGATCAGAAAAGAACTTAAACAGCAAGAAGAGAGCTTACCAAAAATGAAAGGCATAGTCACCATTCCTCCCTTGATCTTTTCAACTGGGCGACCTTTCTCCTCTACTGTTGCCATCTTGTTCATTATTGTGGTGGTCTTCAGGACCTTCAAGCTCCAATATTTATAGCCTGCATGAAAATGTTACTGTTGTACTTTTACCACAAAAATCTGTCTTTTATGACATTTTTCCTGTGCAAATACATGGCCTCAAGGATTTGACAGCATAGTAACTTAGAATACATGGTTCTTATAAGTTGGAAACTGGAAGCAGAACTTGAGGTTTGATGGGACCAGCTAGCATTGATGCGAGTCCAACCAAATTAAGGAAAATCAGTGTATCGAGTCAGTTTGTGCCAATATTCATTTTAGCTATATGAAATCTTTTATTTCCTCATTTTTCTCAGTCCACAGAAAATTGGACTATCCATTTTATCTAAATTATTGCATCATAATAGATCAACTATGAGATATTCAAGGGAAAAAGGATGGACTTTATGACAGATCCTTCAGCGCAAAACACAGGAAAAAGAAAATTCCGTGGATACTTCTCTTCATCAGGAGAATGGTGCAGCATTTAATGAGACAAATAAAGCCACGACATACATATTATTTTCTACTACCTGGCTTTAGCTCATGGGGAATGTTTACTCACCTCATTGCCAATATAGAAGGCCTTCTAAATTTTGGCTAACCCCGTTCACCCCCCCCCCCCCCCCAAAAAAATCTCTTTTACTTCTTTTGTCCCCTTGTCCATTATGCTCTTCTCTTCTCCCTTTTTAATTTCCATTCTCGTTAGGCATTATTCAAAGAAAGAAAGGAGAAATAAAAAATTTGTTTGTCCTTCATCTTTTATTTATTTATTTTGGGTGCTCTCTCAAATTAATGAAAATTGAGTCCAATAGAAGGTTAGTGTACCTATTGCCAAATTGACAATTAAATTCGCCATATTCTCTATGTTCCCCACATCAATAATTCTATGTTCATCAGCCTATGACTCCATTGGTTGCATTTTGTCCATGAACAAACAATCCCATAGATGATTGCATCAGCATGTATGCCATATTCTTGAAACGTCTTAAAATTCTGGAAAATGTGATCTTTGACAAATGCCCTAAATTTCCTAAATGTAGCTGATAAATAAAGATTCTCAAATGGCAAAAAAATATTGGCAACAATAAAGATAAGAAAGACTGTCAATCGCATATTACATGTTATTGTTTTGACAAAAAAGGCATATTACATGTTATTGCCGTTTAACTTACTACTGAAAACAATTATGGCTTGATAAAATTCTTGTCATTTAGCTACAAGAGAAAATTAAAATAGAGAGGAGAGCTTTGGAGAGGCCTTAGACTTGCTATGGGAACTAGGAAACGTTTACAAATATGTTAAAAATGTCTCCAGGCCTGGTTATAGGCAATTATAGTTGAATTACTAGTGCAAAACAAAACCTTTAATCCAATTTCTACTCGCAATCAATTGCAATACTTACTAGCATAATATGCATCGTATTAGCTGAACTAGTTAGAGGCAAGTTCGAGTAATAGGATACATCTTCATTAACCAGAGCGTATTTGGTTCAAAACTCACGCACCAAAAATCTGTACATGCTATCTTTCAGCTGTTCAAACAATCTACCACTTCATCTTTTCTCTTTTCTGTTTAAAGTTTTGTGGTAGTGGGGCTTCCATTTCATTTTGTTATTTTCCTATTCTGAATCTGGCAAGGGCCTGGTTTCTCTGAATTTATCAGGGTAAATAACTTTTAACCATTGCAGTTCGTACTAGTACAGCTTGGAAGAACGAACAATAATATAGTCCAAAATCAGAGCAGCGCCAAGAAAGCAATGGTCTGCAACTTCTTATACCAGCATATTATCATGTTAAGGCGACCAGTTTGCTTGAACTTTTTTAGACAAATTATGCTACTTTTAAGTAATTGCACATTTATCATTCCTTTGTCATTCCAGTAAAAATTAAATTACAACGAGAATTGCAGCTTTACTATATTTAGGGCTCTACAAATCTCTCTTGTTCTCATATCTTGCTTCTAAACTAGCACCAGTACATGATCTTTAAATGGCTCAGTGGACTGAAATTATTATAGCTTGGAATAACTTTTTAAAGCAGCTAAATTCGGAATTACATTGCTAAGTTGTTCTTCCGCTTTAGTTGAAAGAAATTATGAAGTGGGACTAGTGGAAGAGAAGCCAAATTGTGCTCGACTAGTATTAAAAATATATATATAGAGGCTAAGCCCCTCTTAAGAGTGTCATATCTGTCAGTGCAAAATAAAGTAGCAAAAGCCAGAATTTAATTGAACCTAGAGAAAGACAAGTTTTAGCCAGACTAGTTAATTAACCATTGAGCTTAGCTCAGTGGCCACCAGGGAGGGGCTGAAGTCCCTCCTTGAAACCTCACCTGCAGCGAAAGAAATTTAAGGGTTGTGTCATAGTATTTTCTTGGTTTAGTTGGGTCTGTATACCTAGTAACCCCTAACACACAAGTCTCCTTAGGCTCCTCTTTTCCTAGATTAGGATAGAGTAGGTTATACAACGTATTTTTGTTGGAAAAAAAAAATTCAGATTAGTTAATTGAGTGTCCAAAACGTAGACTGGTTTTGCTTCTTTCTACCATTTTATTTTGGTAATAGACCTGAGATGTCTACAAAAAGAAGGAAAAGTCGTAAGGTTCATTCTAGCTTATTTTTGAAAAAAAGATAAAATGTTAAGGTTTTATTACAACTGCTATTGAAAGTCGTAGGAATTAATTCGTTGCTATAGATAGTGTCATGTCTTGCTACCCAACTAAGCTCCCCCTAGCTGGAGTTCACTAACGAGGACTATTTTTGTGTACTGTGTGCTATTTATGTAGATAAGCCAAAAGGCCAATAATTTTTTTTCCCTATAGACGATTTAACTTATTTTGCTAAGGTCAAGATGCAGATGATTAATGAATAAATAAGAATGACCAACAATGTAAGGATTATATGCTTAATAATTGATCTTCATGATCAAGAAATGATTTGACATCCTACTCTTTTTCCAACGAAATTTTCAAAACCCCAATTGGCTACCTTGTCAATTATTAAAAGAAGTTAAGAGCAAATCCCTTCAATTATTCTTCAAGTCAAATTTGAGACCAATACAATCATATGCATTGGGTTATATCAACTTGGATACGGAAGTTGGGAAGGAGTATTTGCAAGATGAACTGATACAAGTTAGTAATGTGGGATGTGATGAGCAAAGATTGCACCAAACCTGCCAGGCCAGGAGTCGAACTACGGAACTGACACGCAGGAGCTAAAGGGGAATTGCGCATTGACAGAATTGGTTTCCATCTTTAGAAGAGTTAGGTCCTGATATAAGGGAGTAATACTCTTTCTTCAATTGTTTTTTATTTTTCCCTGTACTTTTGGATGTTTTGTTCATGTTCTTCTTCTTTTTTTATTTTCTTAATAAGGGAGTAACGTTCCTCTCTCATGTACGAAATTTTACACCAAAAAAAAGAGAGAGAAAGAAATCAATCGATGCAGTGAAGAACTTAGTCAATCAGTTCATGATAAGCACACACACAAATTAGTGCCTAGTACTCTCTCGATACAACTCCCGCATTATACTTGATTAGATAAGGATGAAACGAAAGTGAACCACAGATGAGATCGTGACACCGTTGCTGCCTTTCTTTTGCATGCTAGATTTTGAAGCCTGTCATGTACAAAAATTTGCACCCAAAAACTCAATATGTGGTCTAAACCTGTTAGATATGACGTTAGCGATGGCGTTAGAGATGACATAACTGAACCCAAAGCACCACAGCCCATCCAAAATGTGTTTGTCTGCATATCCCAGCTGCCTACATAACTTTTCCACTGCACAAAAAAATCAAATGGTTCCTTGAAGCATCACCCTTCCTATATCAACCATCTGTTCTTCCACTACAAGACCGGTCAATAACATGGGATTTTCTGCTAACACATGCAGCAATGCCGGCTTCTTCTCCATCAATGATACAGATACGTGGATTTCCCTGAACTGTTGTTCATGCATGTGGGCTTTGTGGCATGAGAGATGACCTTTTTGTCGTCCAAAAAAAAAATTTTTTTTTTTTTTTTTTTTTGCTGTGTTACGTCTGGAAGATTAAGAAAAGCGAAAGTAACTTATTAAGCGAAGATTCTCAATTTTTGGGATTCATCAACTCATTTTAACGTTTTGATGTGGAATACTTCTTTAAGCAGATTTTTTTTATCGTTCAATTATTGCTTACTATAACCAGATCAATTCGTATCAACGACTTTAAGTTGCTTCTTTATTTTGTCCCGCAAGGGCTTTGAAAATTCATGATTGAGCATAACACGTCATTAGTATATTGAAACAAGAAAGGTTGGATTTGAATCAAGATCATAGTCGGAGCATTGATTAGTGTAACAGTATTTTCATTTTCACTATCATTAAATAGCCTTGACCATTGCCTTGACAGGTTGCTCGCAGAAAATGAGTGCACACAGACACTCATTGTCTTTCAGCTGGATTGATTATTATCCTTTGAAGAAAGCTTCTCCTTGTGTAATTGACTTATATGTACACACAAATCATGTAAATTCTTATCTTTTTGACTGTCACCGGCTTTTGTGTTTCTCATTCTTCGTTCCCTTATCTTTGCCACCGACTTGTGTCTTTTAGCATGTTTGGTCGCAAATGTATGCATGAATGTGGAGTTGTGTGCAATGCAAAATAATATGCTACTACTTTTTCATGGATTTTCATTCTCTTCCTTCTAGATCCTAGTGTCCAAACAGCCTTTGGGATTACCCTTGTGGTTGTTAATCCACCCCTCTAAATGTTGCGGATTAATATCCAAGTGCAAATGCAGCTCCTAACACCCAAAAAAAAAAAAAATCAAACTATCTAGTTATTTTTGAGAGCAAAAGCTAGATTTGTAGAATCGTGAGCAAAAGATAATCTTATCGTTTTATTGGTATCGTTCCTACTGTTGCAGGTATCAAAATTTAAAATAGCAAGTGTAGCAATATATATATATATATATATATATATATGTAGCAAAAGATAATCTTACAAGTGTAGAAGTATCCCATATCCAAATTATTAGGATTTTGTAACAACTAAAAATACCATGGGATCTTGCTTAATTATATCACTTTAGCGTC